TTAACTCTAGTATATCCATATTCAGAGCCAGGCTACGCGCAGTTCTATAATGCTAAATTATCATCATGTCGTCCTCCTGGCTGCATCTAAGTAAATTTATGTTTATATATAGCTGTTTGTTTCATCATATACTAGTAATTGATAGGGGTAAAGTGTCAATTGGGACGCAAGTCCAGAAGTCCTGTTCTTTTCTCCAGTCACGTCTATGTTTAGTGTGTTATCAGTATAAACACCATAGAGAATATAAATATTAACACTATACACATAAAAATCTCACAACTTGTCAACAAGATGTGTTCGCAACAGGCTTGTAGCGAGCTTGTCAACAAGTTGTAACCAAATCCTGTTATTTTATCAAATTGCTACAAGCTTGTCACTCACAATTCGTTTTGTTGACAAATTGTTGAATTTCAGGACGATAACAAGTTGTTGGAACAACTTGTAACAAGTCTGTAGAACTCAACAACCTTGTAGCAAGTTGTTGACAAGGCGTTGACAACTTGTCAACAAGCTGGGAACAAGCAGTGCGAACACATCCTGTTGACAAGTTGTTGGAACAGCATTGCTACAAGTCTGCTGCAGGTTTGTTACAACTTGTGCGTTTTTACGTGTGTAGAGGGGGCATTGTAATCTTAATTCAGTCAAAGAAAGGGAACGCGGTTATCGGGGGCAAAAAATTAAAATGCTGAAATAAGAGCGAGTTTGAGCCACTGAAACCAGGTAAATTCTTCTTTTCAGTAGTCCCGTCTTGATTTTTACCAAGTATGTTTACCTCAATTTTTCTATAACACATTTTCGAGAGCGCTCCAAAATAATGCTGATGTCAGCAATTTTGATCTTTGTAGTAATGACATGCAAAGCCGGCATATAAAAACACCCAGTTTTGTGACTCTTGTTTTAAATTTTTCTGGTTCCAAGTGTAACCCAAAAATTGTGTGGTGTTCACCCAGGATTTCAATTCCCCCCCCCCCCCATTACCGCGCTCCCAAATTTCACTCTCGATGCCCCTTCTAGTGTTATTTATAATCTCTACTATCATATATATATATGATCATATATACGATGAAGCACCTAGAACACACGTACACAACTCGAGGAAAACGAACGAAATACGGGCACCTCTATCGCGCACTAATCGCCACCAGTCTTCGTTTGTAGCCAGAGGGGCCAGACTTCATAACAAGTTATGAAATAATTAATGTTGCAGACTATTTCTCGCCCCTTTCTGCTTACTAACGTAACGAAAAACGAGCTTTACAGGCGCACAAGCTTATTACCAAGTTTACTTCAACTCACAAAGATTTAATACCATCCAGAATTTTCGGCCTGTATTACACGACAGTAAACGACAAATATCACAACCATGGCCCAACGTGTTGGTTTAACCAAATACAACAGCGAATTTGGTAAGACATTTTATACTATACAATATAGTTATACACATATAGTGCTATGTTTTTATTTTCTCCTTGTAGTCCATATCGGCTTCTAATTTCTATCTTTCTCACATGTGCCAACCCCAATCCCTGCTGACGAGTCCATAAAGGACGAAACGCCGCGTACAGGGATACTGAATTTTACACACATGATTATCTCCTCTCGCTTTTTATAATTGACATGCCTCCATACAAGCTTTTTAGTACAGCGCGATCATACCTTTTGGGTTTGATCAAAATTTTTCACACCACAGGATATTTTACCGTTACAATTCTACATTTGCATCTCCATTTTTATGTTCAACAAGTCTACGCCTACATTTATTTTCTTAGGTTCACAATTATACATGCAAATACAGGTTTTTTATCTTTAATTTTCAGTTTTATCCATTTTTTTCACAAGCATACATTGTGCCAACAACACGAGGCCATCACACTATCATATTTCACACTAAACCTTTTGAACTCACATTCAGGGACTATTGTGGCATACATTTATTACTAGGACACCAATATGGTTCTCATTATACCTATATCTAAACCTAAAAAAACTTATATATTGTATGTTAAAGGGGAAGTCAAGTCCGTTCTGCGCATCGGTTCTGCTCATAACAATGTGAGGACCTCTAATGTGAAAATTGCCCAAATTTCGAATGTTTCGAATTTTTCTGAACATAAACTCTATTTCATATTCATTTAGAAGCATAGCGAACCAAAATAGTGTTAGATATTCAGACAGTACATCATATTTTAAAAAATACAGCAGTTCAAAATGTAAACAAACCGTTTGTTTACATTACGGACTTGACTTCCCCTTCAACTTCTAACCTTTTAAATTTCGTGTAATATTTTTAACTCTTGAAACGTGCATACTACTGCTGTAATTCTATCTTTGCCAAGAGCAGTAGTCAAATCTATTTAATACTATGATGCCGTGACCCGGAACAAACCGAGTATGCACGCATCAGTGTTGACAGTCACGCGATGGACTATCATCATATCATGTGTTCTATTTCAGTTAAAACAAAGTTGGAACGCTTATTAAACCTTTATTTCGTCAATCTAGAGTTTGAAATATCCCCCAATTTAATCGTAACCTTAATCTCAGGATTTATAAGCGATTACAGCTAGGTATATCTTTACAAAATAATGCGGTTATACTCCTGTATAAATAGTCGAACAAATTTAGTCATCCGATACAGGATCATACAGTATTTTCATGGAATTATATCGTCATATTGTTATTGTATGAATGTGCATAAAAAGTACCATAGTGGTTTGTAAATTTCGTTCCAGAAATCCGTTTACGTCATCGGCTATAAAGTTTCGTAAATTACATGAGAACAATGACGCAAATTTAAATGCTTAATTTGCTTATCAAACACTATAGACAATGATATTTTAGACCATACGTAACACGAATCCGATCTCTCTTGACTCTGCTGCCGGTTCCTAAAAGGTACGGATAGATGTTTTTTTCCACGTTGCTACGGAGCTATCTGACAGTGCCAGTAAACTCGTAACCCAAGCCTCATTCAGACCAACTGAAGAAGATTTATTAAGCAAAATATCACCTTATCAAATTGTGTCTTGGGGGCAGAAATTCAGGGTTGGCATTTGTTCTTTTACTATTTGTTCTTTTATGTTCTTTTATAATAAAAGAATATATTTTTTTCGCCAAATTTGTTATTTTATTTTCTTTTATTATTTTTAATTTTTTATGTTCTATTAGTTTGAAAATCAAGAATTTTCAAAATTCTTAAATTGTCACTAACAATTTTATAATATAAACAAAATAACCAAATACAATAAAAACAATTTCATTACCAGTCGAGACTCCAGAATCAAGAATGCGCATGAGCAGGAATTAATATGACATAAATACGAAATCATCATATTTTTATCATGACGTCATCGTATTTTTCTTAAAGCCGAAAATGTTCTTTTATTATTTAAAATGTTCTTTTATTAATAAAAGAATAAAGAACTTTTTTTCTGAAAAAATGTTCTTTTATCCAATCGATCTGCAAAGCAGACTAGAATTTTCAAGATGCACTAGGCTAGTTTGTTCGTTGATTGGCATAACCGGATGAAGATTTAGTATTTATAGATTAATCTTTATGCAGTGAATAGCGCTATGATGTTTCATAGTCACTCAAGGGGAGTTCCCTTGAGTGACTATGAATGT